TTCATCTCTAAAATTGTCTTCTTTCTCCCCCTTTCCTGCTCCCTAGTCATATTTTGTCGTCTGCTGCTCTTCTGGGCTCCTGACTCTTTCTGCAGCCTTTCTACTGTTACTCCTTGGCTCTTTACTGCTGTCTTTCATCCACAACCATTATCTCAGAAGGTAAGATCTATACTAGCCTTTTTGGATAAGGGCGAAAAAATCTCGGAGGCCCAGTATGCAAGTTGCGCATGTTAAAGATCCCTTGGTGATCCAAAATCGATAAGAATAGGCTTTGGCCGCCGCCCGGGCAAAATTCATAATCAATTCCTACCAAACAGAAAATGTTTAATGAGTCTCACACTCTCATATGACCGTATGCAGTTGCGAGCGCCGTGAAACACTTACCAAACACGCTGTCCTTTGGAAGAGAGGTCTGCTGCCAACATGGTTTTCTTTCACTTTATAAATTTGTTTTAACGGGTTGTTTGAGGCCACCACTGGTAGGTCCTTTTTCTTCTTTTCTCCCCATCTACCGTTTCTGTCTATTTACTGCGATATGCTTCTCTTTACTCAAATCTAAAATTTGTTTTGACCCCTTGCTTCGTAAATCTTATTTATATAAGTATGAAGACTGAGAAAAGTCCAGAAAATCTTTACTTTGAGCGTCGCGATGTCTTATCGGGAGACCCAAGTTTTCCAAAGGTTGTTTTTTTTTTTTTTACTAAAGACACATGACAGCATGAGACATAATGAACAAAATTCATTTATGGCACGTTTATCAACGGCTGTTGAGTACGGGCCTTTTTTAGAAGCGTGCAAAAAAAAAAATGAGCATACGAAATACGGGCACGCCTTTTTTCTCACCACCTGTTTCCGCTGCTCTTGTGTATTCTATGGGGTTTAATCCCTTTTCAAGACAGTAAGTTACTGAAGAGATGGATATATTGTTTACCCTCCATCTCAAGTACGACCAAGTCAATTAATGGACAGAGAGCCATGAAACCCCCCCCCCCCAAAAAAAAAACCAACAACAACAACCCCAAGCTGTCTGGTGTCTGTTTGAGGTGTATAGACGCTTCCCCGTCGCACATAGAAAACCAGATGAATTCCATTCCCATATGGGGGGGGGGGGGTAATCAAGTATTTCCGTCTCTCTGCCCGGACGTTGTATTCCTCTCAGGAAGGTCGAATCCCGCCTGTTGAATCATCTGAATTGTGTAAACGGGGCGTAATCACCTTCGTCACACAAAAAATTAATGACATATGAAAGCTAAAGTAAGACACCCTGGTGGGCATTTGAACCAGGGTCGGCTGCACCACAGGCCAGCGTGAGAGCAACTGTGCTAACGATTCAGCCACTGGATGTCGTGTGGAGAGTCACAGACAACCCCGGCGCGTTTATGATCCCCGGTCTAATTCTTTGTTTGATTTTTCTGCCGAGCTGGATTAGATGCAAGGATTAGGAGACTAGAGGCGAAGACGGTGGACAGATCACATCGCAGCCAGCCTCATCTGTTGTCCATTGTTATGAACTGAGCTCAGTCGGGATGGTTCGGATTTTAAATGAATTACTTTATCAAAAAAACAAAACAAAAAACTGGATGGTTTGTGCTGTGCTGTTTGCATGCTGTTTGATGGTTGTCTTCTTTGTGTTATCGATAATTTTGTTCTGTATTAAGAAGGGGCAGGGGGGGGGGAGTCCGGTTTTTTGCCACAGATTTGTGCCTGTGGGAAGCGTGTTTGGCGGGTGGTTGGTTCTTCAAAAAAAGAAAGAAAAAGACGATTGTCTGTGGATA